TCACTGAAGTTAACAAACAGTCCTTCAGTTTCAGTCAATGCAGGAGGATAATGATCCTAAACATACAGATAAGGCAGCCACTGACATGATGCTTATGTTGCATTTAAGTTTATGTTCATTTTAGTTGTTTCTCTCCCTCAAACACCATCAGAGGTGAGAGGGTGCAGCAGGTGTAGTAGTTGGTATATGAGTCAGTAAACAAATTAAAGGTTTTACAAACACATTCATCTCCACAAAAATGTGATAAATGTTTGACAGGAATAAAAAGAAACTCTGATCCTTCTTTAAAAGTATTTTTTTGTTATTATGGTCGAGTCGATCACACAAAATCATCTTGAGCAGGGACGTGGCTAAATATAGGTATGTGAGAACCAGTCAATATTAAGGTCTCCACTGACTGACTGCAGGTTTGTGACCTGGAGATACTGGATATTAGAACTTGGTGGTCTGTAAGAGCAGCTCACTAGTACAGGTTTCACAGGAGGAAGCTGGACCTGTAACCACAGAACTTCCAGTTGGATCAACAGTCACAGCAAGAATCAGCATCTGCACATTTATCATCATGAGCAGCAGGGGGCGCTGTTACACACAGAGGCAGGTTCTCTCCCAAATGTGTCCAGAACAAGAGCTGAGCAGCTTTTTCTGTGAGTCAAAGTATTTCTAACAAACTACAGCAGATCACAGAGCCTGTGTCAGCTCAGCTATCAGAATCAAACAGTGAAGCTGGTCAGACAGTATGTTAATGACGGCAAATCTACAAAGCAGTAATGAACTTTTCATAAACCACATTTAATACAAATCTATGATACATCCATAAGTCTGCACAGTCTGAAACCTCCTCACATTTCAGCCCTCATTTCTCATCATATTGTAATCTACAGTTATTTAAACTGTGTGTGTGCAGGCTGTGGCTCTGTTTCACTTCCACAGTTCAACTACAGAGGGCGCTAAAAGGGTCCAGGTCATGTTAGTCTAAGTGCCTGAAAAGAAGTTCAGTTTCCTTCTTTTAAGATATCCAGGCTGAACTTCACGACAACAATTCAAGCGTCTACCAATGAGAGTTCAGGATACTGTGATTGATCTACGATGGGGTGGTAAATACATCAGAGGGAGACCTCAAGTGTTTTTATGTCTAGTTAACAGAAAGAGTAGGAGTATAAGCCATGTTTGCTCAGCAGCAGCTTTATATTAGAGGGTGTAGCTTTAGTATTTTAGCTTTTATATAAACCCCTGTTTCACCCCTGCTATGTTCCTATTGTGAAGAGGGAAGCTGTGACCACTAGAAGTATAGTAGTAGGTGGTCGGAGGAGGCTTTAGTGGGACTACAGGGTTGTTTTGAGGTGACAGACTGGGAGACACTCTGTGAGCCTCACGGTGAGGACACCAGTGGGCTTACTGAGTGTGTCACTCACTACATAACCTTCTGCACCAGCTCTATCATCCCAGCACGGACACATTGCACCATTGCCGCCTCTCCTCCACCATTCACTTCCACTCGTGACCAGATTCAAAGACAAAGGAGAAGACTCCAATCAAGCACGTTGTAACGTCGGGTTGTGTTTAGTGGTTGAGAGGAGGCGGCAAATCACTTAGCAGGATCGTCAAAAGAATACACACTCGCACTGGCATTGGGAATTCCACAGCGTGTTCTTTAATATACCTTCTGTTCATCAACCATATAAGCCCGGTTGAACGGCTGCAGCTTAACAAACATAACGCACAGTGTTCGTACAACCCATTACGTTGCAAACAAAGGTGTCTGGAGAGGTAAAACATAAAATCTCTCCGTCCTCATGCACTAGCGTGTAAGCACATGTCCACACAATCACAGAGAGAGCCAGTGGCGCATATGGATGACAACATTAACCCTCGACTTGGGTTGTCTTAAAGAGACACCACACCATTGTGACTGTTACAACGTCTGCTGGACCAGACCAGATGAGTGCTGTGTCCTCAAGGCCTGTCCCACCCAGCTTTGTGGGGTCTTTTATAAATTGTTCATGTTGAGTTTGCCATCTTCAGAAGTTTTATGATGACTCTGCAGTGGTTGGATGTATCAGTGTGTCATGGTCTGACTGAGTCTAGGTTTTTCCATAGAGCCGGTGGCTCCACCTCTGGGCGGAGTCATTGCATTACAGCCTGCAGTCCACACCTGTTGGCAATTAAGCTGCCAATACTTAAGACCAGCGTCACCAGGTCTTCAACTAACCTCTGTTAGTGTAGGCCGACACAGCTCTTGTGATGTTGTTTACAGTGATATTCTCTGCCTGTAGTCATCCACCTGATCCCGATGCTCAAACTCTGACAATACTCACCTTCATTTGGACGCCAGTTTTCTCTGCAGCTCTTCTTCCACAGCTCCTGCTCACTTCTCCTCCCTGCCACAGTTACCGGATATACCACATGTGTATACCACATGTGTATACCACATGTGTATACCACATGTGTATACCACCACCGGTATCCATCACCGCCTCACTCGTACCACTTACCCCTCTCATGCAGATCCTCCACCTACAATAAGTAACACAGTTCTTGTCCATATTTGGTCTTTCCTGACCTGCAGAAAAACACCTTCTGAACTTTACCTCCTCTCGTTACAGTGACTCAAAAGTCTCCTGGTTTCGTTCCCTCAGCCTGACTTCCCTTTTCCCCACGTCACAGAATTCATATGTGTATAGTTTCCTAGTACTTCATGTTTGTTGTACAGTTCACGTTTGCTAAACTACTTCTTAGAATCTCACGTACATCATGGTTCACAGTTCATAGTCACATCATAGCTGTGATTCTGTGTTTGTAAATAACTTCTTGTTATCATGTTTCCCAGTGACTCTGTTTGTATCTGCAATTGAGTCCGTTTGTCTGGTTTGGTCTCTGACTGTGACACAGTGACGGTGATGAGGCTGAATACTGGGCTGTTTTGTCACATGGTGCAAGCAGAATCATCTGCAGCTCAACGTAACAAATAAACACAACAAATAAACACAACAAATAATTGGATCTGGCTGTATGGGTACTTAATAATCAAGCTGGCAGTAATGTTGTGGTGTTTAGTAGACGGGAGGGTGGGAAGTGTGAGAGGAAATGACACACAGGACATGGTTTGAGGTAGATTCATACCCAGGCCCTGCAGTGAGGACTATAACCTTCACTACATTGGTCGTCTGCTCAGCCAGGTTAACTATAACAACACTGTAAATTCAGTCTGACAGTGAGTTAGTGAGTTAATGACAGTGAGTCAAACCCACTCCCTCCTCCAACTATGACGGCCTAGACAGAGACTTTATGCAAGTTTCTTTGAAGCTGGCAGACAGTGAAGGTGAAGGTGAGCATAACTGAGTTCTAGCAACTCCTTCTTACTTTAATAACTGGTAAATTTCACTGACGTTCAAAAGAACTCTCAAACCACCAGGAAGGAGACAACAGAAGTATTTATTTTTACCTTCATTGTAATTTCTTCCTTTACCTAAGCTGGTGAGAGGTTGTTGTTGTTGCTTTCAATTTGTAAGATTCCTGCATGAAATGATTTGATCGAATATTTTTAATTTTATATTTTAAATGGTTTACTGTTGTCTATCAGGAAGAGGAATGCAATATCTCTGGGTATCTCTGTGTAGCCTGCTGTTCTTGCTACATAACAGGGATATGTGTTTTCCTCTTCAGAGATTACAAAAGGGTTCATGTTCAAAGAAAGTCTTTAAATCCATTTTCAATTTTGTGCCATTTGGCTAATTGTGCCATTTACTTTCAATATTTTATATAAAATAATCTCAAAATGAGACAGCAAAAAAAAAAAAATTGATTTCTAAACAAATTAATTAATATGCCTCTTTATTCCTAAGAAAACAGTCAGCTGTGAGATGTTGTTTATTTTTGCTTTTTAGATAGCACAGAAAGGAAACAGGAGGGTGACGAGAGTGTGAGGGGAAATGACACAGGAAATGGTCGGAGGCAGAATTAGACCCGGGCCCTGCAGTGAGGACTCTAGTTTTATCCATCTGTTAAGCTGGTGAGAGGTTTTTGTTGTTGCTTATAAATTCAGTTTGTAAGATTTCTGCATGGGATGATTTGATCACATATTTTTTGCTTTATATCAACTCTATGATTTATTTTGAGTATTTAATGTTAAATAATCTCAGAGTGCAACATCAAGAAATGATGGTGATTCAGAAATAAATAAATAAATAAATATACTTTTTATTCCTTAAGCCAAACACAATATTCAGATGAGAATAAAATGCCAGGAACATTTTATAACCTGGAAAAAAAATCAATGTGCTTCATGTGTTCCTCTCAGAGGTTGAACCAGCTGTCGTCAGGTTTTCAAAGTCAAATTTGGTCTGAAACTCTTTTCATTCACACTTACGGCATCAGGGAAACTTCACAGTACTGATCTACATCATCGTGTGATGGATGCATCTAAAAAAGTTGAAGGAAGTGATAAAAAGGAAACAACTCATTCAGTAACTTCAGTTTTCTGATGATCTGACAGAGTGAAGAGTCAGACGCTGTTCTTCTGAAGTTTAACGACTTTTCTGCATCAGAATGAAAATCCTCCATTTTCTCTTCTTCTGCTTCTTGTCAGGTGAGGACTGATGAGCTTAATGTTGCTCTTTAATTCAAAATATACTCAACTTTATAAAACACTTTATGAAATACATTTATCTACATACAGTAAATAATGTTGTGATTATCCATCTTCTTTTAAATGTATTATTATTATTTTTCATCTGACAGGTCCAGCTGGGCTCATCAAGGCAAAACATAATATTTGGTCTGCAGCTGAAGGATTTAATGGCACGCTTAACTGCAACTTATCTTTGTCTGGAAGCACAAAGTTCTTCTGTAAGGAAAAATGTGAGCGAGCAGAAGATATCCTCATTAAAACAGATGGAAGCACAGCTCAGAGTGGCAGATACAGCATGAAGTATAAAGATGGATCTCCAAGAAGAGGAATTGTGTTTTTAAGCTTCTCACAAATGATCAAGTCTGACGCAGGAATGTACAGGTGTGGTTTGGGAAGATCTTCTGCTCCAGATTCATACTTTGACTTTGAGGTCAGAGTTTCAAATGGTGAGTTTTTACTAAAGGTCACTGAAATTGAAAATGTGGAGACCCCCCCAGGTCTAATTTAGTAATGTGGATCACTTTTAGATCAACCTGTTCAATCAATAAATACAAGCACATTTTACCTGTTATTCCACTTAAGTGTCCATGTTATATGGCATGTGACAACTGTACTAAGATAACGTTTTAGCACCTCAGTGTAAAGCCTACAATAATATTCAAGGATTTATTGATTCAAATTCAGGCTCTGCTAAAACTGAGTTTTACACCACCTCCAACTATCAAAGTCTAAAGCAAAATCTTGCTTTTGTTCAGATTTTCTTTTCTCTATAACTGATTTTGAGCATCAGTATCATGATTTAAATAGATGAAATCTACTAATTTAATTCCTATGATGGAGAGTAACAGAAGAAATGTTTGACCTAAAAAGTTGATGATCTTCCAAGAGTGTCATCATGCTAAAAAGAAGTTAGTCACCTTTTTTATATACAGGCTCATCTTCTAGCTGTGAGTCCTGAGAAATGCCTCAAAAAAAGGACAAATGAAAAAAAAACTAAAACATTTGCACTCACACCGGTGAACTTCAAGGGTCTATAACGCTGCTCTTTAAGTTCATAGTATGTATGTTACATTTTGCATGGGTTCATTAAATATGCAACAACAAGTTTTGATTCTCAGAGGATCAGGTAAGAATGTGTTTTTCAGATTTTTCTGATTTATTATGAAATGATAACTGTGCTCATTTGATCCATGAAATATAATCATAATACAACAGTGTAAAAAGTGACCCAACACACTAGTATGTTGTATGTTGTATGCTTGTGGGGTGTTTATTGAAGTGCCACACACGTGGCTGTACGTTTCGGCACATAAGTCATAAGCACACAAACTCTCTCTCTCAGGTCTCCGCCTTCACTATATATATAGGGAGAAACCTCAATGGTTAAATGACCACCACCTGTCCCTCCAGCCTCCTTGGCACTGCCCCCTTGAGCTCACTGCCCCACTCCTCCCCTGCAGCTGAGCCAGGGACCACACCTCCCCTGCAGCTGAGCCAGGGACCACACCTCCCCCACAAACTGGTTCAGTTCAGACTAATTAATGTTCTTCTATTTCACAGATCTGGATAAAAACGTTGGTTTTTATCGCACACAAACTGAGGGAGAAAAGATCACATTGGTATGTTCCAACAATACATATGGACACAGGAAGTTCTTTTGTAAGAATGAGTGTAAGAATGAAGGGGAGATCCTCATTGACACAACTAATAACAAATCTGAGAGTGGCAGATACAGCATTGAATACAGACCAGGATCTGTGTACGGACTGTATGCAACCATCACACAGTCGTCCAAGTCAGACACAGGAAAGTACATCTGTGGTTATGGGAACCCTCTGTCTCCAGATTCATATGCGAATGAATATGTTCTTGTCATTGATGGTAAGTTTCTTTTCAAAACAGTAAAAAAAACTTTTAACTTTTGGTGACTTTGAGGTGAGATTGTTGTTACTGCCAGAGATCAGCTGATTGGTTGAGACATCATTATACCTTTCTAACAATACAATACAATACAATACAATTTTATTTATATAGCACATTTAAAAACCCGAAGGCACACCAAAGTGCTTCACAGTAATATGGAGAGTCAACATAAGTCAAAACAGGGTACAAATCAGGCACAAGCACAGATAGGATAGAGGCACTAACAGACCAGGAGAGTTAGATAAATACAAAATATGCTATGAAGACAAAAACAACAGTAAAATTAATAAAAAATAATACATTTAATAAAATCTAATAAAAGATTTAAAAGTTTAATAATTAAAAGATTTAAAAGGGTATTAACTGGTCGGGAAAGCCAAGTCAAATAGATATGCTTTTAATCTTGATTTAAAGGACTGGATAGAGTCCAAGGCTCGAATAGAAGCAGGGAGGCTATTCCAAAGGTTGGGTGCAGCTGAAGCAAAGGCACGATCGCCTCTGGTCTTCAGTCTAAACTTAGGTTGGGCCAGGAGTAATTGACCTGAATCTTAATGCACGACAAGGAGTGTACAAATTAAGGAGGTCAGTGAGGTAGCTGGGCGCAATGTTATTCAGGATTTTAAAAGTGAGTAGCAAGATTTTAAACTCAATGCGATATTTGATTGGTAACCAGTGTAGATCAACAAGGGGGTCAAATTTTCTAGTGCCAGTAAGAAGGAAGAAGCATTCTGAACGAGTTGCCGCCTTCGAAGAGAGAAGGCTTGGAGACCACAGTAGAGAGAATTACAATAATCTAACCTGGAGGTCACAAAAGCATGGATAAGCTTTTCCAGGTCCCTGTGTGGTACATAATGCTTAGCTTTAGAAATCTAACTACAGATGATACTTGCTTATCGAGCTTAAAGGAGCTATCCAAATAGACACCCAGGTTACGCATAGAATCAGAGAGAGAGTTAGCTAGGGGCCTCAGCAGGGCAACAAGCTGGTCTCGAGGAATATGGCTGTCGAACACCATAACTTCAGTTTTTTTCTAACATCAACATTTTCTGATTTGCTGATAAATGTATTCCTCTGTTCATTCACAAATATAAACCATATTTCTTATGAAGCTTTAAAAAAACATACAGATATTTAAATATAGTAAGTTTCACAGTCATAATGTGCACTAATAATTTTTAATCAGAGCACATATTATATACGAAACATTTTTTATATTACTAAAAGTTTTTTAACTATTTGAAATCTAAGGTTATGTGTGTTTAAGATGTGTGAGCTCCACTTTGAATCATTTTTTTAAAGTTGTGATGGTGGAGCTAAAATTGAGGGCAAAACATCATCATCATCATCATCATCATCATCATCATCATCATCATCTTTCACTAAAGCTGAGTGTTTCTACTCATGCAAGTGAAACATATGTAGTGCGCTTTATATGAATTTCCCAGTCTAATGTGTAAAAGAGTATCAGCTTATCCATCAGCTGATCTGATGACACTGAACGTGACTTTGTAGTTTATCTGAAAAAGTAATAATGATGTAAAGAACAGGAAAGCAGGCAGCTGAGTGATTACAGATCTTCCCTATTGAACTTACTCATAAGCTTCATGTTAATGCTGCATTTAGTGCTTCATACATGTTTGTATTTACCTGTATGATAATATGATTCGTTTTACTGCATTTGTCTGTATCGCTACTGATTTAGTATTGATATTTTTTCTGTTTGTTGTTCACAGATTCAAACACACCTGCTTCCACACTGCAGACAGCAACAACACAGAGTGAAAGTGTCACTGCAGGAGTCTCTACACATTGTCCTGACTCCTCCTGGCTTCTGGTTGTGCGTGCGTCCTTGGATGGTGTTTTGCTGATGGCTGTTTTCCTCATGCTCTGCTACATTAGTAAGACAAGGAGGAACTTTGGACTGAACACCAGAGAAAATGACACAAACATGGAGGTGAGTTTGTGTCACTTGTTTTCATCACTTGTCTGTTGTTGCAGGTTTCAGTGAGCGTTGTTGATTCATGCTGTCAGTGTGACTTTCTCAGTGAACTGTAGTGAAAAGAGGTGATGTTACCTGTTATTACGGTTTCTTCAATAATATCCTTGTAGTGTTAGTCCAATAATCACACAACTGGTATGTTAACGCCAACTTTAATGGTAGCCTTCTTTCGTTCAACCACACAAAAAAAACTGACCCTCCAAAACTTCTACTCCCCCTTCCCACCTGCGCGTAGCCATGCCCCCCTTCACTGGACACTTGCGCAGTGGGACAGATACATCTTAACAGTAGTTACATACAACATACAACATATTTTTTGGTCCTTTGAGGTTATTCCACAGCATCATAATTTCAGGATGTCATATCTAAAAGTGTGAAAGCCCCTTTAGTTCTGTTTCCAGACACTGCAGCACATGTAAGCTGCTCTGAAGCAAATCTGTTGAACTTCTTATGATATTTATAATGTTACATTTTTTTTGGTTTGTTTGTTTCTCTGGAATAAACTTTGTGCTTCTGTTTTTTTAAAGTTCAATTTGCATTAAACTGTGATGTTGCATGAGGTTATTGTCTTTTTTTTTTTTCATTTTCAGTTATCTGTAACACATGAGAACTGGGATCCAACCATCAGAAACAAAGAGTCCAAAAGCAACAGGACAAAACCCACTCTTCATTACTAAAGACCAAAATCTAACAAGTAAAAATGAATTTTGAGATTTGAGATTTCACAAATCCATTATTTCCCAACTGTAACTGAAAAATGTTGTAAACATTTGGTTTTATTTCATTCATTGTTGTCTACTGTACGATTTATACAACAATGTGCTTACTTATGCCATGTATTTGAAATCACCGGTGTTTATTACAAGATACAACAAAATTAAACAGGTGTTGAGGATGCAAAATGGTGTGATGGTTCCTTAAATAAATTAGACAAATACAGAGTGTTCTACAATAATGAGTCTGTGCTGTTCAGGAAAACAAGAAACAATAAAACATACAGTAGAAATACAATCGATAGTTGCACCAGAAGCCCGATTGAGGGATGTCTAAATGCTTTGTTGAATCAGGGGAAACATCTTCCAGTGTGGTCAGAGTCAAAGACCAGCCATCTAACTTTGCTTCTGGAGATTTGTTGTTTGTTTGTGTTGTTTGCTGTTTGTTTTGCATTCCAGTAATCTGATCAAAGGAGGATTACTCCATGTACTACTTAGGTTCGGTGCTTGGTCTGTGACCAGCAGCTGGCCTACAACAACAACACCTCATCGATGCTGAGGCATCTCCGTGCTAAGCACAATGGGGTCCCATCTACGAGTACAATGACAGTGAATCCAACCATTCATGGTATGGACATCAACCGTTATTCAGTCATTCATTCATTCATGTCTCACATCACTAGCACAAAATGTCACTAATTGCGTTTGACTTCGCTTTCTGGGTGAGAGGATGCACTGGTTGGTGGTTCTTCCCCTTCCTATGTAATGTCCGCAGGCTATTGGTAAGATGGGAGGCCCATTTACTTTATCCCACAACACATAATAACCATTGAACTACCTGTGAATAATGGCATTAAAGCCTAATCAACTTATACAACACAGTTAAGCCTATTTTCATCCTCACAGTCAAATGTTTTTGTGTATTGAAGGGATCATGAACACAAATCCCACTCAGACCAGACAGCAGGTGGTCGATGCTGCTTTGGTGAACATGATCGTGAAGGACTCGCAGCCCTTTTCCATTGTTGACGATGCTGGTTTCAGACAGTTTGTTGGTGTCTTGGACCCAACCTACACAATCCCCACCAGAAAGGCTCTAAAAGAAATGGTGGTGGAAAAGTTCAAGGAGGAAAAGGAGAAAGCAAAGGGAGAAGTGGAGAAGGCTACAGCTGTCAGTCTCACCAGTGACATGTGGACATCCATTCATATGGATGCCTACTTGGCTGTGACATGTCATTTTGTCAATGAACAAGATACACTATCCACAGTGTTGCTAGGAGTGAGACATTTCTCCAAGGCACATACTGTCATGACCCTGTGCCTTCTTGGCTGACTCTGTATGGCTACAAGTGTTTTTGTTGTGCTGCGTCTCCCTCTCTCCCCTCCCGCGCACTGCGCTCTACCGGGGCGGAGTCATGACGGCTCCAGCCCCTGGCTCGGACACCTGCAAACAATCATCTCACTCACTTCTTAAGGCGGCTGCTGAGAGTGCTTCCTCGCTGGATTATTGTGTAACACTCGTCAGTGTCATTGCCAATCTGAGCCTTTTTCCGAAGTTTCTTTCGTGCCGCAACTTACCTGTTTTTCCTCCCTGTGCCAGATTTCTCGCCAGCCTGAGGACCGCCGTTTGGTGAGCTAAAAGCCGGAGTCCGAGCTACCTGAGCTTCAGTGGATTGTGTACATAGCCGTCCCCTTCCCGTGTCTGCTGTTCCCTGGAGACCCTCTTCCTGTGCCCCCTCACCTGTATATATCCACACCTGGTGTCTGTGTGTAAATAAATTGTGAACTTTAGTGACGGTCTGCCTCCGAGTCGCTCCTGAGCCTGACACATACAGCAGAAAATATTGCTGAGGTGAAAAAGGTTTTGATGGAGGAGTGGGGCATCCAAAATAAAGTCAGATGCCTCGTCACTGATGCAGCACCAAACATGATTGCCTCATCTAAAATATTGAAAGTGTGCCACACAAAGTGCATTGCACATACTCTGAACCTCATTGTGAGAAAATCAATTGACAACACGCCTGGGCTTGAGGAGATCAGAGGTAAGGCACGTAAATTGGTAAGCTATTTCCGATCTAGCACAACAGCAAAGGAGAAGCTCTGCCAAATGCAGCAGCAGATGGGCAGATCACATCTAAAGCTCCTTCAGGAGGTTGATACCAGGTGGAACAGCACATACACCATGCTGCAGCGTCTGTATGAGGAGAGAGAGCCAGTTAGTGCTGCCCTTGTCTCAATGAGAACAGATCTCACACCTGTCACTGCTGAGGAGTACCACTCAGTTAAAGAGTGCCTGGAGGTGCTTTCTCCTTTTTACAGAGCCACTACTGAACTTTCTGGAGAGCAGAGAGTATCTGGGTCCAAAGTCATTCCACTTGTCTGCATGCTGCGGTATGCAATTGCTAAAAAACAACCTCAAGTTCTTGATGACAAAGCCCGCCAGCTGTGCATGAACCTCACAAGAATGCTGGGTGAATGTTCGTCTCACTTGGAAACAATGAGTGTAATGACCATTGCTACCCTGCTTGATCCAAGATTCAAGGCTGTGGGGTTTTGCATTCAGACCAATGCTCAAGCTGCAGTGAGACGTCTGACTGCAGAATGTGCCACCATCATTGAAAATGAAAAAGACCAGATCATGCCCGTCCCTCCTATCCCATCTACCTCGTCACAGCCAGAGCCAGCAACCAGTTCTGCAACTCAGTCAGGTATGGCTTTTGTTGACCTGAAGTCCATAACACAATGACAGGGTTCCAGCATATTCTAAAAATGTCTCAATAGTGAGAATATGCTTTAATATCCCAACGTTTCAATTCCGTTATTGGAAATATGTGACTATTAGACGTTTTTTAACAAAACGACAATCTGCTTGTCGAAATATAAATTTCATTAGATATCTTTAGTATCACTTACATTTGAATATTCACATGTGATGTCATTTTAAAATACATCTGGAAATGTCAGTCTACAGAATGTGCAGCTATTTAATTTCATTAGTCTTTCAGGTGGTGGTCTGTGGGATTTGCTGGACAGCCATATGGTGGAGAGGCAGGTGAGGAATGCCACAGCAGTGGAAGTCCAGAGGTACATGGCAGATCCTTTGATTCCCCGGACAGAGGATCCGCTCCACTTCTGGGCAACCAAGAAGAATGTATACCCCCATCTTCATAAACTTGCTTTGCAGTTTATGTGCACCCCAGCATCATCCGTTCCATGTAAGAGGATCTTCCCTAAGGCAGGGGAAATCATATCCAAGAAAAGGAACAGACTCAGTCCTCGCACAGTGGAACAAATTCTTTTCTTGAATAGAAGCCACACAGGATAACCTTAAATGCATCGTGTTTGTATTTGACATGTTCGCAAGGATTCCCCCCACCCAGTTCACAATCAGTTCTTTCCCCAGTTTCAAAATATATCAGAGATGTAGCAAATATCATATGATCTATAAACAGACCTGTCCAGGTGTCCAGTGGTTAATTGCTAAGTACCTGGAGGCAGGACCTCACAGCAGAGGCATGCGCCATACTGTGTTGTATGTTATTATATGTATTTTGCATGTATTTTATTTACCAACATAAAGAAGTGACAGGCAAAGAAATACCACACCATGATGCATGTTTACATGAGAACGGTTTATTGATTACATCTACCCATTAGACTAATGATGGCCCGCTGGAAGCTGGCGCTCCGGTGTGTACCCAAAAGACAACACACTGCAGAAGCACTGTGTCGTTTGGCCAGAGTCACGTGATCGGTGACATCCGAAGCTTCATTTCGAACACAAGTGTTTCAGTGGTTTACAGGCAGGTGAATCATTCGCGGGATTTTGAGTTGATTTTGCTCAATTCATTTTATCTGCCGAAGTGAAAAACCTGACATGTCCAAAATCATGTTTTCATAATGGAAATATCATTACAGCATATGACTTTAGGAACACTTCCATGGACACTTCCAGGACGGAGAAGTGACGGAGCAGGTGAGTAAGTGACGGAGCAGGTGAGTAAGTGACGGAAGTGACGGACAAGGTAAGCGACTCATGTTGTAACTGACGTCAGACGCCGGAGATTTTGGCGGAAAATTAAAGCAAATGGTAGTTTAGATTTGAACAAATTCATTTAAGCTTCAGCATTACCAAATACACTTATCAATTGTCTTATAACTAACACTATTTGTCTAAATAATCTCCAACACCCTGGAGAACAACGAGGAGAGTTTAGAGACTCTCCAAGATTACATCGATCAGTGCTTTCAGGATCTCGTGATGAAGAAGACCCCGTGTGCAGCTTCCCCGGCCAAAGCTGAGACGCCGTCGTCGAAAAGACAACGCCCGGCAGATTCCCCCGGCTCAACATCGCCAGCCGGCAAAGATATTGCCGACATATTGGAGTCAATCGACAAGCGATTGTCCAGTTTCGACGCAAGGCTGTCCTTGGTGGAGATTCTTCACCAAGAATTTAAATGCTTGCGAGAATCCCTGGAGTACAGCCAGCAGCAGGTGGAAACGCTTGCTGCTGAAAATGCCACGCTAAGGGAGTCGGTGAAATGTCTCACAGATAATGTTACCCAGCTCAATAGAGAAAATAAAAAAATAAAAGAAACAGTTATCGATCTACAAGCTCGTAGCATGCGTGATAATCTGGTATTTTCTGGTATTCCAGAAGCCGCTGGAGAGGACGCGGAGACCACGGTAAAAAGCTTCATCAAAACCCACCTGAAGCTGCCGGAGGACACTGTGAAGAACATCGTCTTCGATCGGGTACATCGCCTCGGCCCCATTCGGGCTACGGCCGGGAGACCACGTCCTATCGTGGCCAAATTCGGCCACTTCAAACAAAAGCAACATGTGAAAAGCCGCGGCAGGGAATTAAAAGGAACGGACTTCAGCGTGAACGACCAGTTCCCCAAAGAGATCTTGGAACGACGCAGGGTCCTCTTCCCAATCCGACGCGGCTTCATCCAGAAGG